AAATTGCTTGGCAAGGTAACATTACATCGCTTACAAACTTGCAACAAAACTTTACAAGATGGATGACCTAATTGATCATTCCACAGTACATAGCTACTACTAGACTTAAAAACCACAATTACTTTAGCATCTCGATCTCGAGCAGAAAGAACACCACCAAACTCATACAAGCCACCAGTCTCTCTACCTTGCAGTAACACATCACCCGACTTTTCATCCCGAACCACACAGTGATCAGCATGAAACTCCAAAACACTTTATTATCCCTAGCAAGCTTGGAAACGGATATCAACTTCTTAGTTATCGAAGGCACATGCAACAAATCACTCAACATTAAAGAACGAGATGCAGTATAAACAGAAGCTTGACCAACTTTAGTAATAGAAAGACCACTACCATTGCCTACAATAAGCTTACCAGCCCCTGTATAATCTGAGTCATCCATCACTTCTGTGGCATCAGGTGTAATGTGATGAGTAACACCTGAATCTACAAACCATGAGGCAGGAGAGGAACTTGTTACAACCATGTTTACAAGTGGTATAAGTTATTCTTGATTATCTAGACCAGTTGCATTTACACCCGTTTTACTCCCACATGCACTCTTAGTGGAACTGTAGTGGCACACATTAGCTGTAGGTATTCGTTCCTTGAACGAACTTCTCACATCAGACTCGTCTACACCTGAAAAAGATTTGTCAAACCTGTACCAACGCCGATTAACAAGATGACCATTCTTGCCACACAACTGACACTGAACATTGGCACGCCTTCGACCACGACTTGCTTGATTATTATACGCTATATGCCTTTCTGATGTGGCTTGATATTATCGAGTGAACCTAGTAGATCTATTATCCATAGGATTATTTACTTGTACTACATTAACAGCCATTGTCATATTATCAAACCTACTAAATTTTTCTGCTGAGTCTCAGTATCAATGAGCACAGACACAACCCCTTCCAAAGTCAAAGCATCACGACTGGCTGACAATACAGTAAATATCATCCTATACTCTACTGACAAACCATTAAAATTTGTCACAATATGTTCAAGATCAGACACTGGGCTGCTACATGATACTAACGCATCAGATATTTCTTTAACTTAAGAAATATAAACCCCATCCCTGAATCACCTTGATGAACAACTTTGAGTTGATAATGCAAATTCATTATTACTGTTGTTGATTTACAAGCAAAAATCTTGTTTATGGTCTTTTATACCTGCGTAGCTGTTTCATCCTCCCACTAGATGTGGCAATAAGGATGGATTGATTGTAGACAAAAGCCACGAGGCCAAGGCACTGTCTTAAGCAACAAAGACTTCATGTTCTTCATTTTCATCAACCGTGCCATTATCCAGCACAACCGTAACAGGTAGAGGAACAACCGAACCAGAAAGTAGCTTCTCAAGCCGTTGACTTCTAACTGTTAACAACACTTGTTGTTTCCATAACAGAAAACTTCGATCATCTAAAACAACGTTCAACCATTTATTAGTAAACCCTTTCGAAGCAGCTACAAGGTAATCAAAACTGCTCACAACACCACCAGAAAGTGGAGAGGCCGGAGGTGCCATATAGTCATTGTACGCACAACAAGAACACGGAGCGGACTCCAACCACGGTACCAGATCACCAGCATCTGATACCATGTTGAAAATTAAGCAATAAGAGTTAAAGACTATCAAGAATAGATAGAATTTGCATTGCATCTAAGTAGTACACCAATACATTTATACAACAAGAATACTTGCACAATAGCTTTAACAACCTGATAACAGCTTCTAACAACCTTATTTAACCTAACTAACTACAAGTTAACTTGCACAACATGCACACACACTTCTACTATAGTTGTTGACCATGCAACATGCACATAGCAATGCAACTATGCTTTAACATGGAGATGCTGGAAAACTAACCTGAAACCCCTCTGTGATTTCTGATTGGATTTTCAAATCCAGCAATGAAGCTCCTCAAACCCCTTTGTATTTCCAATTAAAGAAAGAAAGTGCAAATTTCGGGTAGTCGCAGAGGGTAGAGGAAAGGGAGTGAGAGTGGGGGAAACCTTTGAGGAAAATAGGTAAAGGAAAAAAGATGAAAAATATATAAAGGGTCTAGGATGATAAAAGACTCAAAACTTGCAACATTTGTAATTACAAACACTACAAATGTATTGAAATTACAATGTTTAATTAAAAACGCCACTATATATGCATATTATTGCGTCGTTTGTTTAGAAAACACCACTAAATACGAGTCTGTAGTGGTGTTTTTAAAAAAACACTACTAATGTTACCATTTTTTGGTGTTTTGGTTGTAAACACCACGATATGTATAAAATTAACAGCGTTTACTATCAAAACACCGTTAAAAAGGCCACTAAAAACCTATTTTTATGTTGTGTATATGAATCACAAGCATGAAATCAATGTAAAATGTGATATGAAAACATGTTTAATAACAATTTATGTAAAGGAGCTAAGGCTCACTTGGTAAGCCATGTTAAGACATGATTATGATAAGCTAAAAGTAAGTATTGGCTTGGATGATAAGTTTAGGTTGGATACAATTGGCATACCATAGAATCTATTTGAGCTCACGTCGAGGTTGGAATTATAATCCATGGATTAATATTCTTAGTTGACGATATTGGAGGAAAGTTATTGGTCATTGACGATGTTGTAGGGAGTCCATTCTTAGTTATTTGACAATATGTAGAAGATTCAGATATCCATATCTGCTTATAAATCCAATGGGATAAATTATGATTCATGATATAAGTTGTTGCTATAAAGTGATATAATGTGATATGTTCATTATATGTTTAATTGCCATTCTAGCATGTTACAAATAAATTTTCAATGTCATGTTATTTGCTTTGCATCATGATACTACCTTACTAAGCTAAATAAACTTACATATCATTGGTTTAACATTTCAGGAAATCAAGCTCGATAGTTTGTGATAGTATCTAAAGGTTGCAATTCACTCATTCCTAAACCAATGTAAATGATGTTTTGTTTACTCTCATAGATTGTGGCATATGCATTTAGATGTGTAAAAGTTTTGTAAATATATTCATATGTCATCCTAGCTTAATTATACATGTTTTAAGTATATATAAGTATGTTAAGGTTTAGCATGTTAAGCTGAAAATGATTTGAATGGATATGATTATGATGACATGTTTCGATGTGTTGATTTGGTTTGGATGGTCACATATGATAAATAGATTCAATTTGATGGTGTTCATGATATTATCATCTTTAATGATGATTTGGTACTTAAAATGTATGGTAAATTGAATAAATATGATTAGTAACAAGTTAAGAACATGTAGAACCATGCATTTAGTTGTGTGTTGGGTTAAAAATGCATGTTGAGGGCAATTTGATGTTAAATATTGATAATTTGAATTGCTAGGTGAAGTGGTAAGTAGTTAAGGGTTTTAGTATCGAAACCCGACCTTCAGTATCGATAACAGTGATTCCAGAATGATTTTTAGTATTGAAATAAGCATTTAGTATTGAAATTGGGTATCTTGTATCGATACCATATCTCTACTATGTTACCAAGCCATGAATTTTGAAACTTTGCATTTTAGTCCTTAATTCATAACTTTGTCATTTGATGTCTGATTCAATCGCCGTTTTGTTTTTGAAATTGATATTTTTGGAAGAAAAATTGATTAATAGAAAAACATATATTAAAAATGAATATTTTGAATCACCCTTATAATTTTTATATTTATAGTTTAGTCCTTTAACTATGAATTATTACAATTTAGCCCTTAATGTTATGGAAATATATGATTTTGTTCTTAATAAAAAAACTACCTTGGGAATTGTTTAATAATGGTTATTAATTCATGATTTGGCTATGAAATTCATGTGTATCATTAAATGTTTGGAAATGTTTGTTTGAATCAAATTTTCAATCTCTGATTTAATCTTCGATCCAATTTTCAACTGAGCCATGTAGAGGGTGTTATAGCATCAATCCTCCCTAGTTTTCCATGAATTTAGTTTGTTCCTTTGGATAGTCCATTGGTTCATGCTATTTATAATTTGGCATATGAATTTATTTTTAATGCAATTTAATCCTTGTTAATTATTTTAATTTCTTTTAATTTTTCTTCCTTTATTTTCTTGATGTTAAATATTAGTCTTAGGTTAGTTTCTAATTTAGATTAAACCCTAAGATTCTAGATTTATTTTAATTATGTACTTTAATGAAATAAATTAGGAGAGTAACTTAAAATAGTCTATGTTTTTGCCCAAACACTATAACAAAATAGGTTTGTAACAAAGTTTTGAGAATAAACGCCGTTAATTTTATAATATAATGACGTTTAAATCCCAATCCCCACAAAATGATAACATTAGCGACATTTTTCCAAAAACGTCACTATAGCCTCGTCTTTTATGGTCTTTTTTTAAACAAATGCTACAACAGGTCACTGTAGTAGTGGTTTTTAAGGGTAAAGTATAGTAATGGTCACTAAACTTTTTTAAAGTTTTCATTTAGGTCCCTCAACTTTTAAAACTTGCAATACAGTCCCCCAATATTTAGTCAGTTTGTAATATGATCCCTGATATAACTGTTGGGGGACCATATTACAAATGAACTAAATGTTGGGGGACTTTATTGCAAGTTTCAAAAGTTGGGGGACCTAAACTTTTCTAAAGATTTCATTTAGGTCCCTCAACTTTTGAAACTTGCAATAAAGTCCCCCAACATTTAGTTCGTTTGCAATATGGTCTTCCAACAGTTATATCAGGGACCATATTGCAAATTGACTAAATGTTGGGTGACCATATTGCAAACGGACTAAATATTGAGGGACTGTATAGCATGTTTTAAAAGTTGAGAGATCTAAATAAAAGATTTAAAAAAATTTAGTGACCATTACTATACTTTACCCTTTTTTTTAAAATACAAACGCTTTTAAGCTTTTAATCTTTTATCATCCCAAACCCTTTAGCCCTTTTCATCTTTTTTTTTATTTACCTTCCTCAAAGGTTTCCGCACGTTTACCCAAACCCACGAAGCTGTTGTCGCTATTCAACGGCTGTCGTGGCCTTCACCGTCACACTAATCAAGATCTCCTCACTGTTTCGAGTCAACCCAGCCATCCTTGCCTCTAGCATCGTCGATTTCTTCTTTGTCGTCTCGTTTCACCTTTGCGATTTCTTGTTTTTGGTTTCTGGTTCAATCTGGTTTTTTCTTCAATCTAGTCGTTCAACATAATCATTTATTTCTGGTAACATTTAATTGTTGTTTTTGGTTTGCTTCTTCGATCATTAATTATATATTGTTGGTTTTCAGATTATGATTTTGTCTAATGATATTACAAATGAGATGCTTTTTATGCATATCAATTGATTTTATGAGCTCTCCTTGTAACTGCAATTTCTGTAAAAATTCCTTTGCAGAAACTTGATCATAAAATCTCATTTTTTTTATCTTCATCTGGGAGACCACGAGCCTGTAGGAAGCAGCTGCAAAGAAGAAAATTGCAAGTGGGAGCAATTTCAATTCAATGTTGCTTAAACTCTTTCATTTTTCTCTGGTGCCGATATCTATGTCCGACATGTTTTTGGACTAGGAAAAACTGAATATAGTTGTATTCTGTTACATGGTTTCTATTGTTTTACAGGTTAAGGGCTTCAGGGTGAAGTTTCACTAGGAAAGTGAATATGGCCGATTCTCAGGATCCTTTCGACCCTTCGAAGCGCAAAGGGTTAGTAAAATACTTGTAATTTGTATTCTTGGCTAAAAATCTCATCTACTTTTATTTTAAAAAATGGGTAATTTGTGTTTTGTTGCAGATATATGTCATGGGATGACTATTTTATGACAATTGCATTCTTATCTGCTAAGAGATCCAAAGACCCATACTGGCAGGTCATAATTTTTTTGCTAAGTGGTTTCAATTTTGCATTCAATCATGTATAATCGTAGCTACCCGAAGTGCTTAATTTTGCAGTTGGCATGTTTGTTTGAAAAACTATGTTAAAACTAAGAACTTTGATTTTAGTATTTGTTTTGTTTTGATTTGTTTTTTTGGGTTGGTGCATGCTTGGTGAGTCAAAACGGTATAATACTTGGTAAGATTTTTGCTTGAATTGCAATCGTAAGAGTTGAAGTTAGAAATAAAGGCAGGCATTGTTTATGGATTCTAGTTCCTTTTTTTTTTCAGGCACGGCTATAATGGGTTCCCGAGAGTTTGTTCTGATGACAAGCTTCCTTGGGAAAAGGTTTGATTTATGTTATTAATGCATAAGCTTCAAAGTTCCATCATTTTTAAGGCCTAGATCCTGTAATAAATTTGTCCTTTTAATGACGTCTCAGATGTCCAAATCTGGGGATCCATTGGAAACAAAGTATCCGTGAATACCATGTTTCCCTGATCTTTTACGAATCTTGATTTGTGATTTGATCAAATTGTATGCCTAGAATATGAGTTAGCTGCTTCTAGTTTCATCGAATCTAAAATAATTCTTGTCATTGATTGCATGTGTCCTTTATACTTAAGTTCAATACTTAATTTGAATAATCTATTTTTGTTACGTTTGTCATGTTGAAGTCAATGCGATCCTGAATACAAATCATGCATCTGCAGCTGGCCAGGTCAGTTAACTTCTCTAGCGTTGCTAAATGGATGAAACCGGCAATGCTTGATAAAGTTCATGATTCAAAATTTAAATGACTCCAAGTTAAAATATAGTATGAAAACTTTATATTAGTATTTTCTTATGATTTTTGTACTCAATTGCATTCCTTTTGAAGGCTTACTAGTAATGCACTGAGAGGATCTCCAATCTTGTGGTAAAATTTTGCAGGGACTTTATGTGATCATGTTCCCTGATAATGAATGTGCAAAGATAAATCATTCAGGTTTGGTAAGCTAATTGAGATTATGGTATTGTGTGTGTGTGTGTATATATATCCCTCTTTAAGTCCCTGGTTTCATTGGTGTCGGTTTTCATTGCTAAGATAACCCCAACAAACCTTAGAGGGGCTTTATTAACGATACATCAGGGACTTTATGTGTGTATATATATCAAATTCTTTTTTTTCTCGAAGCATTCAAGTCCGTCACTCGTATCAGGCACATTCGCACCTTCTTCCTAATTAACATAGCTTTACGAAATCGATATTATGTCAGGTTGCCATTGCCTCTGGTCTGCTGGTGGCATATACAGTAGGAGCATTAGTTTCTCAGAGAACAGTGGCTTTAACTAGTAAGTTAGTTTAGTGCATTGTGTTTATGGAAAGAAAATTTTCAAATTAGAAACAATACTTTAGTCATTGTGTCCATGTGCAATTATGATTTTGGGGCTTTATTTCTTCTCAGAGTCCTCTAGATGGCTGGTAAGAACAATTTCTTACTGTAAAAGCTAGACCCTATCATTTTTTTCTTCCAACTTATCTCCTAATATTTTGTCCTTGAATCCGTTATTTTCACTGTTGTTTGAATTGAAGGTATGTTCTTGATAAAAAGAATCAACTGAAGATGCATATCAATGCTCAAAATTGCCACGAGAATAATATTTTTTTTATTCTAGTGAACAATGTGTTTTTAATTGAAAGAGAAAGAACCTAGACTAAATTCTAGTGAACAATGTTGAACTATGTCACATTTCATTTTAATTTTATAAATTTTGATTTATTTTTAAAAATAATTTGTGTCATAATTAAATTTAAAGTTTATTGTTATCAGATAATGCTACAAGATATTAAATTTGGGTAATATATAGTAGAAAATGATATATGTGAAATCAATTAAACATAGTGACATTTGTAAATAAAAGCTACCAAAAGTCATGTTATTTTGCAACATTTTGTGAAGAAAACACCACTAATAGTGTACACATTTGCGGCGTTTGCAAAGAAAAGCGTCACTATATACATAGTTAATTACGGTTTTTTTTACCAAAAATTCCTCTAATTCATAACATATAACGGCGTTTGAGAAAACAAATATCATTAAAGACAAGATAATTAATAATATTTTTCTTAAAAATGATGCTATAGAGCTTGATCTTTTGTGGCATTTTCTATTAAAAAGCGTCGCTAATTGTTACGATGTTGGTTTTAATTGCGCTTAAAAACGTAGATATAGAGCTTAAAACACAACAAAAAACATGTTTTGCTGTAGTAAAATGTTATTTTAATTATTTGATTAGTATTTAAAATTATTTAAATTAAATATAAGATTATTATTAGATCTTTAATTTTAGAATTAGTACATTAGGTCCTTTAAAATTCATAATTAGTTCTTTACTTAGATTAGGCCTTAACTAACATAGTACATAATTTAGTACATTGTGGTATTAGTAATTAGGAGAATAAATTAAGGGGTAATTTTTGCTTTTTCGGAATATTATTTCCAAATTGTTTCGAATAAAATTTTAGGTTAATTATTAGAAAAATAGAAAAAATTAAGATTTTAAGAATCCATCGCATCGTATGAGATTGAATTGTCTTCACTTTCGTCGGGCTTTGATTTATCAAATCATTTAATAGATTTAAGGGTAGACTATGCGAATTTATTTTAGGTCTGACCGACTTTGATCACTAATTTAAAAATTAAGGGTACATAGTCCCTAATATTATCAATCCATTCAATTTTAGTCCCTAATGCTACCCATCCATTCAATTTTAGTCCCTCAACCATTAACTCCCATTTTGTTTTAATCCCTCAGTTATGTCACATATTCGTTAAGGATTAAGGGCAGATGAACTTAAATTAGATGGACCGATAATGTTAGAGATTATTTACCCTTAATTTTTAAATCGGTGATCAAAGTCGGGTAGACCATAAACAAAAGAGACTATTTGCTTTGTTTACCCTAGATTTATTTTACTAATTTCGTTACTAATTCATGATAAATTATTATATGATTATATTCTTAAAATATATTAAGAATTATACTTTATGGCTAACAACTTCTTGTTTGCTTGCATGACATGCTTTTAAAATTATAAGGCAATGTTTATTATTTAGGGTTAACAATATTGTCGAAACAGTTTCTGAAAAATAAAAGGGGGCCTCGCTTCGAAATAATGTAGTGATCTGTTAATGATAAAATGTGGTTTGAGGAGTCACCACCAATCTTTGGTTAGGGTGTGATTGGGCACCCAAAAAGTATTTGTCATTTAAAAAAAAGATTTATTTTAACTGAAACAACAAATTTGTGGTCTGCATGACCAAATTTTGAGTTCGGTAGTCGGTTACGTATGGGGAAGGATTAGCATCCACACAGAACCCTAAATTGGTACCTAGTCAATTAATTAGTTGTATTTGCCATGAAATTTAAGAATTCGAGTCTAATTTAATTTAAGATCCCTTACAAGTAATATTCTTTTAAATTTCAAGACAAAAATCAATAATATTTAATTATTTTCTATTGAGAAGGATCGACCTTCTATACCTCAAAGCAGCCGATTCTTACTCTAATTGAAATAAGGAAATATTAAAATTCCATTCTAAAGTTCATTAATAATTCAAGATAACAACGCCCAAAATAATTTTAAGAGAGAAAATTATAATATCTAATTATTTCCAATCGAGAATAAATGACCTCTCATGCCTTAAAGCAATCATTTATTACTCCAATCGAAATGAAGAGATATTACTATTTCGTCTTAAAATTCAATATCGATTCGAGTGAAAACAATAATATCTAATGATTTCCAATCGAGAATAAATGACCTCTTATACCTTAAAGCAGTCATTTATTGCTCCAATCGAAATAAAGATATATCACTAATTGATTCGAGAGAAAACGATAATATCGAATTATTTTCAATCGAGAATAAATGACCTCTCATGCCTTAAAGCATCCATTTATTACTCCAACTGAAATGAAAATATATTATTATTATCAATATCCATTCGATTGTTGTTATTTTGAAAACTCATTGGAAAATACATGCAAAAATATAACAAATTAAAAGCATACATCAAGCAAGTATAATTAATTATTTATTTTACCAATATTTAATGAGAATAAGGATATTCAATTATTTAAACACATCGAGATGAGACTTTAGATTCGATCTAACAATCTTTTCTATGTGAATTTAATTAAAAGAATAGGATCTTTTTCCCAATCCCCAAATTTTAAAATAGATTTGATTTAATTCGTGTCACTTAACAGGATAGATTTTCATTCTAAAATGATCGTTTTTATACGTTAAGGCAGTCACTCTACGACAATATCAAAATGAACGAATATTACCCTTAGTCTAATTATTTTGATTTGAGTCGAGAAATGCTCATGAGGTTGTCATACAAACTAACTTAAAATAGAACCTAAGCCAATATGCACCAAATTACTCATTTATATACATAACATGCACAAAATAATAATATAATGAAAATATACGTATAAAATATTATTTATTAAAGTATATTGCGATTGAATAGAAAAAATTAGTAATATAGTATACATGTATAAGTTTAAAAAAATCATAAAAAGTAACATATAAATTTTATCTATTTACATATATTTTAGCTTAGGATAGAAATAATTATATTATATATATATATATATAATACAAAATATATGTATATATATATAGTAGTTAAAAAATAAGATAAATAAAATAAATATATTTATACAAAATAATATGTTTCGTAAATAAATATCTATAAATGTGCATATATATAAAAAATAAGACAATGAAAAGTATAGGGATTAAAACACATTTGAACCATTTTGAAATGAGGATTAAATCAATACATGACAAAAGAGTAAGGACTAAATATGCTAATAAACAACATCATTCATAACAACATCTAATACAAGCAAGAATTAAAATGAACAATTCAAAAATAACATATCCAATGTGTAAACAAGCGTAAACTCAAAACAACTAAGCTCAAGGACCAAAATAAAACATGAGTAAAATTAGAAGACAAAATCATAAAATTCATAAATCACGAAATTGGGCTAAAATAGAACATAAAGAAAATAAGATAAAAACGAAAAAACTGTATTTAGTGACTAAAATAAAATATTACAAGGCCTGAGAACCCCTCACGCGATTTACCTAAGCGCTAAACTGCTGGGTTCCCTAGAGTTCAAATCGACGCCGTTTTGATTCACAAATATACATCCCTTTAAGGGATCCCAAATAACCCTAGCCCCATTTCCCTTTCTAGCCGCTCGGCTCCTCCCCCTTTTCTCTCATCTCTTTATTTTTTATTTTTATTTTCCCACACAAACCCTCCGACCTCTATTCCTAATGTCCCCGATGAGGGGCCGACAACCCCTAAACACCCAAAAATAAACCCTACTAACTTAAACCTCCCTTAAATCGAACCAAATCAACCCTAAAAATTCACAAATCTACCTCAAAAAATAGAAGACCGTATACCTTTGATGCTCAACACAGCCCCCTCGTCACCTGTGGTGATCTAAACTCAAGGTAAAACCTCTCTTTTTCTCTCCCTTTTCTCTTCGTTCTCTTTTTTTTTTTCAAAAGTCAAATGGCTTTCTCCCTCCCCTCTACTGTTTTTTCTTTTCCCTTTTCCAACCTATAAAAAAAATGAATCGTTTTCTATTGTTCTCTTTTTTCTGTTAGACAAAACCCGAATGGCTTTTCTTCAGATTTTTCTTCCCTATTTTTTTATTCTCTAACCGGTCTCCTTTTATGTTAGATCTGTTGCACGTTATCTGCTTCGCCTTTGCGTGCTTGGGGAAGTTTTGTAGAAGCCATCATCACGGGCTCAGGTTGATAGGCAAGGGAAATGATTTCCATTTTTGTTGTTTTGTTATTTGTCCTTATTTCTCTACTTCTTGCTTGATGGGTGACTCTTGGAAGAGAAATAATGACGTTGGAGGTCACGGGTTCGGCCGGAGTGACGGCGACGTGCCAGGTTCTTGCTGGTAATGGCTGTGTTAGATTAGGGATTCAATTGGGCCAATTAGGCCCTCTTGTAATCGGGCCCGAGTTTGGGCTTTGATTGGGTTGATGATTTGTAATTTGGGCACAGGTCTGTTGGGTCAGTTGGGTTTATAAAGCCTGCAAATAATAATAATAATAATTATTATAATTAATAATAATATTAATATTAAAAACGGGACAAAAACGGTTGTCGACAAATATAATAACCGCTTTTGTTAGGATGATCATTATTAATCTCTGAAATAAAGCGATATCATTTTTAAAATTTACATACGCAACTGATCATAAATTAAATAAAAAAATTGAACTTATAAATTTTCAAAATTTAACAATGGATAATCGACTAGGTATTATGGGGAGTTGATCATTAGGTATTAATTTTAGGTATTATGGGGGTGTTGATCATTTTTCATACGTAATCGATTTCGAGAATATTTTCTGGTTTTGTAGATCAAAATCGTTGTTTTAGTAAAATTTAAAAGTTTTATTAAAATAATCTGATTTTAGGTAGTCTAATCTTACCTCAAAAATGATTCGTGACGATTCTCATTTTTACATTTTAAAAAAAAAACTATTAGGCATAAAGATAGCTAGACACCTTAGTGACTTTGATGGGACTTTTACAAAAAAATGAGAGTCAAACCATAAATCTACTACCTTTTATTTTATTTGCGTATTATATGTTGCATATTGCATTTTATGTTGTCATATTTCTATATCTATTATTTCATATCTAAGTCATATTGATATTATATATATATATATATATATATATATATATATATATATATATATATGTATGTATGTATGTATGTATGTTAGGCGTAAAACACACATATATGAACGACTACAAATGTGAAGAAATAAATTGGATTGCAAGGAGTAACGTCCATCCATCAAAAGGTGTTTTTAAAAGACACGAACCTTTCTTACACCTCTTCCATTTGTACGGTAAAGATGAAGAGAAACAATGCAAATACAAGACTTGTGATCATTCAAGCACTAACGAGTACAAAAGGATGGTACCAATGGCTACAACATGAAAAGATGCATCAAAGGACATGTTTCCCCTTCATACCTCTTCAATGTGGACGACAACAATGAAAGGATATAATTCAAATGGAAGGTCCTATTTCTTCAACGATTGGGCGGCAACATGAAGGGACACAACTCAAACATTAAAACATGATTTTTCATGAAGGAATGGTTCATCAAGAGTCACCTTTCTCATCCATGGCCGGCCGCCTTTTTCAACATGAATGTGTTCCTTTTCATTTCATTTTGTAAGCCTGTAAATAGGGTAGTTCACTTCATTTTTGTATCATCCATACTTGAGTGAAATATAATTGAGAATTCATCTCTTTTGTTCTTCTAAGGACTCTATCAACTTATCAAGAACTTCTTGTGATGTTTACCCCCTTCCATTTATGCTGTTGATTCCTAATTCTCTAACTAGTGGATCATAGTCCTTTGATTGAAGATTATTTAGGAATTGGATCAATACTCATCATAGTAATTGTTCTTTCCTTGAGCTTCAATCCTATCATTTTTATATCCATTCCACCATTTTCATACCATCTTAACGTTACACACGCCTACAACCCTTATTCCTCCATACCTTATACCATATCCTTCAATATTCATTATCATAAACATATACTTATATCATTCTTCCTTTATCCAAATCATACACGCCTACACCGTCTCCATCCTACCTTATCTTTATTCTTTGTCTACTAACCCTTCACCGTCATCCTACTTATCATAAGAGATTTCTTATTTGGTTACAATCAAGGCATATCAAACAATCTTGGCAACTCCGCATCCAATAGCGTATCACATATGTTATATCATCACTTTGGTGACATGGTACATGCCATGTCATCACTTTGGTAATATAGCATGTCACATATAGAAATGTCACGTTAGCAACATATGTTGACCGCTAGTCAACTGATGGTTTCTGTCCATCAGAGGCTATTTTGATGAAAAATTGAAATATTGAAAGATAAAATGCTCCAACAAAAGAATATAGGCCAAAATGACCCTTTGTGCAAACGTTATGTGGCTAATTTTATCATTATGCCAATAAAATAATGTTCACTATTTCTTGTATAACATCGAATATGAAATAATGAACAAACAATCAGTATAATATTTATAAATAAAGTAAATATATAAGCGAATTTATTTTAGACAACAAAGGGAACAAAACTCAAATGAAATCAAATTCATAATTTTCATTAAGAAGATAACAACTAACCGACCAATAGGCTAATTTTTATAGTTTGCTTCGATGAGTATATGTATGGTTCGGCGAGTTGCTACCAATATTTATTATTGTGTGATCGGATCACCCAAAAGTTTTTCATTTTAATAAAACTAAAATAAAAAATTATAATGTACTTGCCCATAGAATGAATTCGAAAGTAAATTACGTATGAGGAATGATTAGCGTCTCATAATACCCTTTTCAGTACTTGATCCCAAGAATAAGAGAATAAATATAATAAGTAGTAGAATATATTAATAAAAAATAAAATGCATATGGGACTAAATTGAATTAATATTAAAATTAATAGATATAAGTAAATAAAATAAATAATACAAAAAAATCATATAAATTATAAATCTAAAAATGATAAAAAAACACATAAGTTCAAAATTATGGAAATAAAAAGAATATATAAAACTAATAAATAATAATAAATATAAAAATTATAAAACTAGTAAATAATAATAAATATATAAATAGGAAAAATAATAAAAGTAAAAAATACATATATCTATATATTAATAATAAATAAAAATAAAGAAAACGTAATAGAAGTATATGTAAATTAAATACATAAAAATATAATTAATTCAATTTCAGATAAATATAAATGATAATAAAAAATATAAAAAAACGTAAACAGAATTTATATAAGACCAAATGCATGAAGAATAAATATACATATATATATATATATATAATCAAATAGTACTAAAAAATTTATATCAAAATGTAAAAGATTAAACAAAACTCTATAAGCAGTGGAGAAGAACGACAAATACTTACTGTTATATAATTGGACACTTACACCGAAAAAAAAAGAAAAGAAGATAAAAAACTTAAAGAAAATAAAAGAACTCTCACATAAAATTCTGAAGAAAAAAATATATTTATTTTTTAATTTACTTTCCCTAAACACAAAAGAAAAGAACCTATTTATAAGCTAATAAAAAATCTAAAACTAAAAAAGGATTATAAAAGATACATTTGATTTATCTATATCTATTCAAATGATAAATATAATCTTAAATTATATAAATAAAGTTTTAGAATGAATTTAAATACAAATAATAAAAATTATTAAAAATTCGTAATTATTAAATAAATTTAGTATTGGACTCATATAGAATTTTCTGACCATAATATTTCCTTGAGTTTTCAATATCCGATGAAAGTATTTCAAGATGCATTGAAAAGATAACTAACAACCAGTCATGTTTCAAGAAAACATATTTGACTTAAAAATGCCCTGATCTCAATTGAATATTTTTTACAAGTCATCAAACAGTTCAACCTTTAAAATCAGTCTCAATTTCTTATCTAAAACGACTAATTTTACCATCATGTACATGTATCATTTAAGTATTTAAAAAAAATATTTGAGTCTTGAAAAAACCCTAAAAAAAATTAGGCCATTACAGTATGGTATTAAGAATATCATACAACCTCTGCCTTAAAAAAAACCAGTGATATATTTATCTTCTGCTCTTTCTTCCTCTATCTCAAATGTTCCTCTCTCTTTAGTTGAGTGTTCATTGAGTCCTTTGCTCTTCCTATTCCTCGCTTCACACAAATAGTTAATGAATCTTCAAAGGATACATGCATAATGAAATATCCTTAAAGACCATGTCTAGTGTATGTTAGAATCAAACCATAATGAATATGAAATTAACTAATCTAATCATGCCAAATCACCAACAATAAAATACTAGATGCAAAATACTATATGAGGAAGTGTACCTGTATTAATTGATATGTTGAAATCTTTGAATCCTTCTTGATTGAAGATATGTTTTATTTGAGTATAAATTCTATGACGGATAAGAGTAATATAAGTTAATCTATTTATTGTGACCATACATCTTTATATAGGATGAATATCAGGTCAATTTATTAAGTATTTATAATTTTTATGTCGAAATGGTTTTTTCTGAAGGGGGAAAAAGGGGGTCCCATTTCGAAATAATTTTTGATGACCGGTTAATGATAAAAAGTGGTTCGAGGAGTCGCCACCAATATTTGATTAGGGTGTGATTGGGCACCCAAAAAAACGTATTCGCCATTTTAATAAAATTTTAATTTTAATTAAAACGACAAACTTACAGTATGCGTTACCAAATTTGAGTTCGGAAGTCGATTACGTGTGGGTAAGGATTAGCTTTCCCATAGCGCCCTAAATCGGTACCTAGTCGATTAATTAATTATCTTTGCAATGAAATTTACGAGTTCGAGTCTAATTTAATTTAAGATCCCTTAAAAAATATTCTTTGAATTTTTGGACGAAACATGATAATATTCAATTATTTCCTATCGAGAATATCTCTCATACCTTGAAGCAATCAATTTTTACTCCAATCGAAATAAAGAAATATTAAAATTTCATTCTAAAGTTCATTATTAATTCCAAATAGCAACACCCAAAATAATTTTAAGAGAGAAAATAATAATATCTAATTATTTCTAATCGAGAATAAACGACCTTTCATACCTTAAAACAATCATTTATTACTCCAACCGAAATGAAAAGATATCATTATTCTGTCTTAAGATTCAATATCGATCTGAGTGAAACAATAATATCTAATAATTTCCAATCGAGAATAAATGACCTCCCATACCTTAAAGCAGTCATTTATTGCTCAAATCGAAATGAAGAGATATCACCATTCCATCTTAAAAATCAATATTGATTCGAGAGAAAACGATAATATTGAATTATTTTCAATCAAGAATAAATGACCTCTCATGCCTTAAAGCAGTCATTTATTACTCTAACTAGACCTGTAAATGAACTGAACGTTTAGCGAACTGTTCATGAACCGTATGGCGGGAAGTTCGTTTATGTGCGTTTATTTATTAAATGAACGAACATGAACA